GTTCCTGGAGCTGTTTGGACACAATTTGTTGTAATTCCTTTCCTCTACATATACTTTGTGGGACAAGGTCTGTCAACCCTAACCTAAAAATCAAGCCATTTTATTATGTACTGTATGTAGTAAGAAACTGGGACACATCTAGTCTTTCCAAGAAAATAAATTTACTCAATAAATCTGTCTTGACCGCTGTCCATGGTGCTGATTCAGGAGCTGTCTTGGGTGCTCTTCAACATTTGTGCTGGCAGGCCACAGTCCCACTACTGGGGAGAGACGGCCAATAGGTTGCCTTGACTGATCATCATCATCCTATTGCCTCATCTGTTAGGCTTGCTATATATATCTTATTGATCCAGATCCTGATTGCTGAAACTTGGAGACACAATGCCAACTGACCTTGTTCCAGTCAGATCTGTGGTGTTTAGGAAGGTGATTTAGTTAGTATAAGTTTGCTTGCCTAATGTCCACGGCAAGGTTATTTTTGCCCACTCCGGCAAAAGCTGTGTTTGTTTGTTTTTTTACTTGCCTGCACTTTGGTCCTATTTAGAAATGTTACAGTTACAATATCTGTGACATCTGACGTCATTATCAGCCTTTATCACACTACTGCAAACAAAGATTGTACAGATTGCGAACTTTACTGTCTCTGGCATCGTTTCACCTGTGATTCACAACTTTAGAAAAACACTTAATTATTCCTAAGATTAGTTTACTGTTTCTGGGTCTTTTTTCATGCAAATGCAGACTCCTAAAACTAAAAACTTTAAGAACTACAGGGAAGTGTGAAGAAATCAGGCTGACACTCCCACCTGCCTCACAGCTCTGACAGATTGTTACTCCACAGACTCTCTATCTTATCAGTTTTTTTGTTTGTTTTTTAGATTCTTTTTTTGGCATTTGCCTTAGATTGTGACCAGAAAAGCCAGAAAACATAGGGAGCGAGACAGGACCACAACATGCATAATGGCTGGAATTGAACTGGGGACGCTGAACACAAGGCTCACGAATAACTGTGAGCGAACTACTGTCTGGTGCATGCTCTTGGCTTTTTCCACTCACTCCAAACGAGAGTTATGTCTGTAACTATAATTCTATGAATTCGGGATTACAGAAATGGTATGTAGTACTGCTGAGACAGCTGGTACGGCTGAGAGTTGATTTCTGTTTTTATGTGGCTTGATAGGGAGGCCCTGTAAACATCACAGTTAATGTACATTGCTTTGTAGTTTTGGGGTGTGGAGTACAAGGCAACATCACAATTTTCTGACAGATATATTTGTTTTGTGGAGGACAGAATATACAGAAATACTTGATTTTCCCTGGAAAAAGGAAAATTGTATATATAGTATGTGTATAACTGTACATATGACTTACTAACTGTCAAGGTACTCTTGAAAAGCTAAAAAGCACACCATGTTTTGCGGCTACATGTTTTGAGGAATAATCAGATTTACTTACTACAGTCAGCGATGGTCCAGCTTTCATTAAGGACAACTATTCTATCGCCACACATTTCAAAAAGGCAGTGATCCACCATGCTGCTGCTGTGAAAGAGTTATATTAAATTGACCCAGAGGACAGTGAGCCCTTGCTGTGATAATAACAGCTCAGTGAAAAGTATGCCAAAGCCTCAGTGAGACATACAAATGAATAAACATGTTTATAAGTCAGTAAGTGGAATTTATGGGAATTGACATCAAAAGCAAATGTAACTGAATATACTCCAAGCTAAAGGTCAGAGAGGATATCTGTAGAGTGGCAGCATTAGACCCATTGCATTCTCATGCAATATGCAGAAATTCCACTTTCAAGCCTCCTGATGATGGACGCTATTTCAGCTGACAGCAGAAAGCCTTTAAATGAGCCTGCGAGCAACAGGTTCCACCTTTAATGCACTGGCTATTAATGGAGTGTAGGGTGTGGTGCGGCGGGAAGCCAGTAATAATCAATTTCCTGCTGCTGTAATCATAGTTCTCTGTAAGTTAATTAGCATCTGTTGAGTGTTACGGAGAGGCGTCTGCAGAGGGAGAGAGGTGTTTGGAGTCAGAGTGGGGAGCGTGACACAGGCTGTGGGACTGCGTTCTTGTGTTAGGGCTATAGATTAAGATTTAGATTAAGGCTAACATGAGTCACTGCGTGATAGAACTAATGGTGCATCTGATGCATGTGATTGTGATATTGTGAGATCCAATCAGCATCGCAGATGGACTATGTCACCCCCCACATTCTGTGTTATCTCACTGTCCAATAACACAGAGAGGGCTCTAAAAGTATAAAAGTCTTATCTACAAAGTGGATGAACACCGCACACTCTCCATTACAAGTGATGGAGCATATTAAAAACACCAGAGGGGGACGAAAATTCAACATAATATGGGCTGAAGACAACGAAAGAGGCACAAAGTGATTACTAATTTGGTGATGTCACACTGGCTGACTAGAGGAGGTCTAATGCAGACAACCAATCACATAGTTAGGAGTCAAACAGTCTAAGAGGCATCAAAAAGGGAGACACGCAAAGTGATTATCGATTGGCTGGTTAAACAACCAAATTACATTGGCAGTTGCTTTTAATGGAGAAAGAAGGAAGCCCATACATTTTGTTCTATTGGACCATTTTCTTTTCTTTTTTTTCTAGTTGCACTCTGTTGCTGACTTTTATTCGATGTCTAGGATGGGGATGGGTGATGTGGCCTTAAATAAGGTTTTTTTTACAACAATTTTCATGACAATATGTATATATATAATATATATACATTTTGACAAATTCTTCATTACTCATTTTATAATTTATTTACTATATTGTAAGCAACTTGCCAATGATTTGGCTTAGCTAGGCTGTGCCTGCATTGTTTCTCTGTTTGGTTGGAGCAATCACATTATATGATTTCTGGCTCTCATTATGCTCCACGGGATGCCCTTTGTGTGAGTGGTAAAATAAGTTTGTTGTCTTGCCACCTTTTGTTGTTGCCATCTTCTTACACTGCTTACTGTACAGATAACATGTATATATCTATATATATAGATATATACACACAAACTCATCAGAGAGCAAGAAGAACAAGAGAAGAAAAGAGATACCGTTACAGACCTTTTTCACAATATGTGGCACATGTTACATTTCAATATGGCACAGCAGGAAAAGGCATAGCGTTTGTTCAGACAGAGCACTGAAGTCGTGCTTGTGTTAGCTGATTATCACTGTGGTTCTGACAATCACACGCTGACGTTTGCTGCCACCTCAGCCTCCTACTCCTCTTGTTATTTCATCTTGTTAATTTAACTAAGATTTAAACCTACAACAAGGAGTTTTTAAGGAGACCGTCAGCAAGAAGATTGGTTATTTCTATATAGGTACTCCTAATGTCTGCCACTGTGTTGGATTCGGTCAGATTACCCTTGAAATCAATGAAGTTATTTTTTCTACTTTAATGTTCATGTGTGTGTTTAATAAGGGGAATTATGGAACTATAAATGGTCAATTCCTTGATCTAAGTGTCTCTGACTGAAGCAACATTAATAATGACTACATTGCATTCAGGTGTGCCAGATGTAGGGCCCTGGTATTGTGTATGCAGGTTCCCTGGAATGGGACACATAATGGAATAAATCTCTCTATGGATGCTGTTGTAGCGGAGTTAATGATTCCACATGCCATTACTTGCCATTATCCCTGTTTATTTAATGTATTTTTAGTCACTGCTATATTTTTACTCTAATGTTGTTTACGATTGTGTTTTTGTTAATCTTGTTTATCATGTAATATATTAGTTTCCCACTGGGACTGGTCTGTTGTGTGTAGTATGAGTTGCCCTTGCAGATTTGAGTCGTGTTACCAGTCAACTGTATCCTGTTCAAATCTGTTAAAAATACTTAAGTGTTTGTTTGAGTTGGTCTCTTGGTAAAAAAGCGAGTGAGTTTATTTCCCAAAAAAGTGACAAACTATTCCTTTAACTAACATGCATATATAGAGTACAACTTCACAGTAATTTTATATTTACAACTGAGTCAAAATAAAGCCATAAGCCAAGCATTCATCCAGTGTTCACTTGGTGCAGATTAAAGGAAAATCTTGTTTCAACCAAATAAATGCGAGAGAGTAATTCCAGTTTTAACAGAACGCTGCCGTGCAAATAATAAAGTGGTCTAAGGCAGGAATACATGCAGTGGACCCCATATAGACAAATATGAGAGGGTCCTGACCCCATGCCAGAATGTTTTTATTCATTTAGTTATAAATGATATGGTTTCTAAAGGTGAGACATAAATGCCTGTAAAGGGAATACTAATGGTTGTACTCTCAAAAAAAGGAATAACTTCCAGTGAATTAAATTACACTAAAATTAAACTGTTTCTAATGGTCCTAAGGACCAGCTGAGGAACCTGTTTTTGTTAATTCATCATTTACCTATCCACACATTGTTGCTCTTTTCTGCAGCACCCTGCCTTATGTTCATACACTTGCTATTTCAGTGCATTGCTCTGGTGAAGATAGGGTAAACATTCACATTACCAAGACACATTTGTTCACTACCCTCTCTAACCATTTGGCTTGTTGTTTTGACTCACTCCAACTAAAATCTGTATAATCTGCCCTCCATGGGACAATTGCCTTCCCCTGGGCTAGAAAGGTCTTTCAACTCACCATCTACACATGCTGGCCTCGCCCTGGTGGTCCCGGCGATCTGGCCTCTCCGGCAGGCGCAGCGGGCCGTCTGCCTAGCGATGGTCCGTCTGGGAACGCTGCTGTCTCTGTTGAGCATCACTATCTCGCAGGTTCCCACCGCCAACTGGCCTGCCAAACACAGCAGCGAGGAACAAAGTACATCACATTAGCATAATGAGAATGTAATGAACATATTACAGAGGAGCAACTGGTGTTCAAAGGTACAAACAACAGCCAGCCTTGACACACGGCCCTTTTTTTGGTCTGTGTAGCAGGCTTTAATGCTCTGATTTAAAGTCTCAAATAGAAAAATTAGAAACTGATTTCGGTGCTTTAACAGCAGCAGGCAAGAATACTTCTTCAGTTGTGGTACAGTGTGGCTGGCCGCTGTTGATAAAAGTGTCTTAGTGATCATGTGGAAAACAAAGATCCCTCCAAGAATCTGTTAAAAGGACATTTTCTATTTGGCTAGTCATAACAGCAAGTTAACAAGCCTACACGTCTAAAGCTCATAAAGATATGAAAGGACTAAAAGAAAAAAGAAAAACAGACTGGTTTGCTTTGGTTAGAGCGCTAGGAATAAAATCAGATGGGTTTTTGTGATTGGACATATGAATGTGCTCAGCAAATTTCATCAGCCCATTACATTATGAAATATGGAGACTGTCCAGAAAAACAACAGCATTAGTCATTTATTCAAATACCTAGTACTTTTGAGCCTGCATCTAATCAGATATTAACCATGATGTGATGGCTAATTAGAAAAAAACATAATATAATTATTTTTAAAACATCATTTGCATTCAAACAACGCTGTCCAACCAATAGGGCGTGCAATTTCGAGGACTTGTTGAAGACAGTGTGTGTGTACACGGGATAGTTTGTTTTCAGTGTGGTGTCAGAGAAAACCTTAAGGGGTGTCTGAAGTGGAAAAGGTACCATCCTCTGGGAAGCATCAATGAGCACAAAAAAGTTGAATACAATGAATATTTACAGCCAGTTCCATGGCAATCTGCTCAATTGCTTGCTCATGCTAGTGGCATGGCTCTAGGGATAGTAATGTCAGTCCACCACTTTGGTGCAGACAATACCTCAACAACCACTGGATGGATTGCCACAACGTTTTGTGCAGACATTCATGGCCCTGATGATAAATCCTAATGAATGACATTCACATTTATGGTTTTGGGTAAAATGTCTAACAGCTATTGGATGAATTTTTATGAAACAATAGGTGTAGACATTCATGTCCCCCTCAGGGTAAATCATTATCTTTTAGGTGATCACCTGACCTTTCATTACTGCCATCATCAGGTCCAAATTAAATTTGTCCAATACTTTGGTTTATGTTACATACCTGCAAAACTGACGTTCCTCATCAGCTTCTGCTGTGTTATGTGTTTAGTGCTGATTAGCAAATGTTAGCATACTAAAACCCTAAACCAAAATGATTTTTTTTCAGGTGATTATACACTAATGAAAATACTTATACAATATACAATTATTATACAATAGATCCTCTCAAATGTTACACACTGGACCTGATTTTTTAATTTGACTATTGAACTAGTTAATGAAACATGGACCAATGGATGAAATAATGTGCAACTCAGTTGACATGGCTGTGGCTGCTGCAGTCACTGTGCTCCTACAAAAGATCAATTTTCAAGTCAAGTTAAGCTCTACTGAAACAGCAAATGGGAAGAATGTCTTAAGGTGATGATTACCTTATTCAGAAATCTGCAGGTGTGCTATTCTTACACCTCTATCCAAGCACAGAGAATTGCTTCAGAGTTCTCCAGGCATTACAAATTGATGGATGACTCCCTGGCCAGGGTCTTGTGGTTTAGCAGGTTTTTTGAGTATCAAGTTTGTCAGAATGTGATTTCTAAATTAATTACACAAACAATAAATGTTCTTCATCATCTTGACTTTTTTATGCCAGGGGAATTAAAAGAGTTGATAAAAAAACACTTACAACTTTTACTTGGCAAATTGCATAATGAAATGATCCCCTTTTGAATCCTGTTCATTTGAAATATTGAGTGAGTTTGGGTGAATTTATTTAAGTTTTCTAACAGCTAGAGATGAAAATCTAGCATCAAGAGCTGCTCAGCATTCAAACACCAGTGTCAAACTATTGTCAAGGTGAAGAGATAAGCTTTGCGCCCAGAATTGCAGCTGTAGCTCATGCTCTGATAATCACTGCTAATGAGTCATACCGAAAACTGGGCAAACAAAAGAAGAGTTGTAACAATGATGTTGCCAATGTTTAGGTTTATTAAATGAACCCTCTGCGTGGCCTTTTGTAGCTGACAGTTCAGTTGAACACTTATTGTTGAGGCAGCAGTTTTGTTTGGGTAAATTATTTAGAAACCCAAGGGAACATATTTAATTGTCTTTTATTTAGGCCTTCCTGGCGTGTTTGGGGGAATTATTAACTGTTAATAGTCTTGTGTTGGATAGATAAACAAGCTTTAATCACAGTAAATTGCTTGAGGGTGTCCGCTGCTTTCAAAAACACATTTGGAAGAACCAATGTTTCGATACATGTAGATGACACATTTTCACCATTGTCATTTAAAATCAAAGGGAGGTTTGTTGCAGCATCAAATAGGACTAAAAAACAAATCAATAACCTGCTGAACTGCAGCTTTACAATACTAATGTGTGTGAATATATCAAATCTGACTCAACTCAAACTCAGCACATTTCTTAATAAGTGCAATATAAATGCATGTGAAGTTAAATAACTATATCACAACTTATCTTCTCCAGGTGAAGCTCTGAAAAAGTTGGGGAAACTTCCTTCACCTTTGTAATGATCAGGAAAGGGTAACACAGTTTCTTCCTTCTTTTCTTTATTGAATGGAAAGCTGCCAGTGAAAGCCATTCAGGCTGACACTGAAATAAAATCAGCTCAGTGAAGGTAGATTAGAGAAGAGTCGGTTCTGCAGTTCCTGTAAGGTCAATCCCTGGCATTCACCAACCATCACTCCTTTATACTGCTGTTTCCACTTCTTCCCAACACCCTCAAAGGTTCATTAAGTGAGACGCTAACTGCTCTATAGCATGAAATGGCTGTAATAATGGCAAAGGTTGAAAGGGTTGTTGATCAACACAAATGACTCATAAAATTACCTCAGCGGGTGCTGAGGGTTCCAAGTTTCAGAAGCTACTAAGTTTCAGAGCAAGACATCTTGGAAATATTCCAGATGATGATTCCTAGTCATTATAGTGACCCTGTGACCTTTCTTTTAGCAACAAAATGTCTCCTGGCCATGGCCGGATTAATCCAATAGGGGGCCCTGGGGCAAAAATTAACTTTGGGCCCCAATGACCCACCAAGTGATAAATCCATTGTCACCTCTAAAGCTCACTAATTAACAAGTTATATCTCGTTTGATAATCTGTTCAAAAGCTAAATTGTAAAAATGACAATTCAGTGTTTTATAAGGAGATATGTGCTGGACTATTTCTGAGCAGAGCCTGACCAAGAAATGTAATCGACAGATAGAATACAATTAGCCAGAAAGCGAGTATATTTACAAAACTATTGCTTTAACACCCACATCATTTTAGATGGTATTGTGCTAGGATAGCTGTAGTGCCCAAGAAAGGGCTTTCTGAAGGCAAGGCAAAAAGCACTGAAAATGTTTTTAATATGGAGTACTCTTAAACTGATATTGATTTTTGAGGTGGGAAGGTTCTTTTTGTGTTTAAAATAAATGTTTCTGCTGACTCTGTATTCAGCAGTGCTTTTCTCTGCTTCCCTGTGGGTACTCCTGTCTGTTTCTCTAAACTGGGGGCGCACTGGCCTCCATCTTCTGTAGGTAAAACACTGACTAAGTACCTCATACAACCTCCCTTTAAAATTTAGATATTCTTTAACAAATAACTTAATCAAATGTCCATAAATCAAGTGAAACTCTTTCGGGCCCTGTTGTCTGCTTTGCCTCTGCCTGGTCGGTAATCCAACAGAAGATGAACCCTTTTTATTATCAGTGCTCTATGAGCTTTCCTCCAGCTCCATCGCCTCAACACTGCAGGCTCTGGGGCCTATTTAGTCAGGATATTGTTTCAGTATTTTACCAGGTCAATAACCATACTGGACACCAAACTTTTGCCAGGACAAACAGGACAAAATCTGCATCTCAATGAATGAATTAGTGGATGGTTCCTGGTCTCAGTGGCAGACACATTGTGATTTAGGCTGATAAGATTGGTATATTTTTACATAAAAGTATTACCTAGACCAGTCTTGGGAGTCATAAAACACAATCACCTCTACAGAGAACTGCTACGCACATTTCATTTCATAGCATCAGCCTTGCTGCCCACCCTCCCTCTTCCACTATCCACCACTCAGCCCACCCTCCACTCTCTTTTTGCTGAGGCGAGTGCCTGTATACTTGGTGGGTGCTTGGAAGATAGAGGTGCCATCACATATCAGTGCTATCGCCATGTTTCAACACTGAACAGATGAATGGGCTTCATGCAATAAGCCTGAAGGAGGAGGATAGTAAGGCAGAAGGGGGGAGTTGATGTGGGGAGTTGTGTGTGGGTGGGTAGGTGGGGGTACTCTGTAAAGTGCCCTAAGCTCCACAGCCAGAGCTCCATCATACGTACAGGAGTTAATTCATGTGACAGGGGGTTCCTGTCACTCAGCAGCATGAAGACACTTGGCCCCTGTCTCTATTTCACATGATGAAATGCGCATACGGCTGTGTTGGCAAGGAGTGTGCTGAGTGAAGGATGGCGTCATGTCGCCATCCAGGCTCTGGATCCTCTCAGAAACGACATCCAGAGGGCTACAGGAAGCCGATAGGAGGCACAGTGACTGGCTCTCAACATTGGCTGGCAGCCTGATGACCTTATCACTGAATCACAACACTATACAAGTGCAAAGCGGCAAGGCAGACACGCACAGGGTTTCAAACACACACAGTTTAGAGCAAAGATGTGAGTCTGTGCTCTACATATCAGCACTTTGATCAGACACACTGCAGATCACCAAAGTACAGGAGCACAAATATCTTAATATCTCCGCTTGAAATGGGCTGCTGGGAGTCCACGCTCGCTTTCACAATGTTCCCCTGATTCAATGTGCGTCATTGCAGGATTGAGAA